ACCAACAGTACTTGAAGTAGAAGTTCAGAACGCACACAATTTGTGCAGCCATAGAACATGGTCACTGACAAGAATTCAAAAGGTTCAGAGAGTGTGCAACTCACCAAGACTTGAAGCCTTGCCTAATGTGCGGACCGCACATAAATTGTGTGGTCGCAGAAGCTAAATCGCAGTCGCAGACCAAATTGTACAGTTGCAGAATCCAGTTCCTTGCATATTCAAGCAATGTGCGGACCGCACATGGAATTGTGCAGTCGCAGAACCTCCTGAGGGGCATTTTGTCAGCGAATTTTGAGCCACTATAAATAGACGAGAATCACATTTTTAGGTCAAGTTTTGAAGTTCTGCAGCTGTAGCCGTTGTAATTTTCCATTTTAGGAAATTTTTGGTCATTTTGGGATTAAAACATCATAGTTTATCATTTTAATTTAATATTTTGGGTTTATTTAGTATTTCTTCTTTGTTTTCTTCATTTTTCTACTATGAGTAGCTAGACTTTTACTAGGGTTGTCACCCAACCCTAGTATGCAAACCTTATGTGTATTTAATTTAATACTTGTTTATGATTGGGTGTTGATTATTTAGCCTTATTTATACTTTAATTTTAAAATTAATAGTTGCAAACATTGATTCATGCCTTTTTGACTTAGTCCCTACTTAAGAAAGAGGGACATAGTCTAGGAAAACTTGGATAACAAGAAATTGGGCTATTTAAGAATTTGATTAACCTAATTAAAGGGTTTGAACTAGAGATAGGGAAAACCGGACTTGAGCTCATATCAACTATTTAGCTTGATACCCATTTGGGCTTGAGAAAGCCAAAATTGGGCAAAATCACTCTATGACTGAGAGGTATTGACTGGGTAACTTAGAGTTGAGAGCTATAATAAACCCCGATCAATAAAATAAGTGTCAACGTACTTAACCCATTAGGCGAACACCTAGGTGTAGGTTACATCCCTAGGCCTTTTAACCATTTGATAAAAATAACAAAAATAATTACCCGCTTTCTAGTTTCTTCTCATTAGTTTACAATTGTCAGTGTTAATTTAGAAGTAGAAAACAAAATCCCTTGTTTGGAAGCGCAGTTAAGTTATTTCATTTACTCCCATCAAGTGTATACCCTAACACCCATATTAAACTCCCTGTGAAAATCGACCCCGACTCTTGTTGGGTACTATTTTTCCAACAACCGTTTTCACTCACTATTGAGTGCAGAGTGGACGAGGATCACAACCTCGCTTTGGCAGTATCAAGAACGATATTTTGGACATCAGTCCATTTACCATGGGCCTTTTGAAATTGTACATTTAGCAGGAGAGGCCTCTTGGCTAAGGTCTATCACCTCCTGCTCTCTCTGTTGCAAACGAGCCTCCAACTCACCGACTTCGGCGACTTGTGCTTCCAGTACCAAGAAGCGAGCAACAATTTGATCCCGCTCGGCCAACGGTTGATCCCGCTTAGATGTGAGTTTTTCTTTATCAAGGATCAACTTTTGAAGGTCCTCGGAGGCAAGGAAGTTGGCATATGAAGTAAAAATCCAAGTTAAAAATTCTTCAATAACAAATCAAAGGAAAACAAACAACAAAAAGAACGAGTACCATACCGTTGATGCGCTATGCATGGCATTATTTATCATACACTCATTCGAAAGAGAGTGTATTTTATTCTTATCTTTCTCTGAAGCCAGCGGCTTCATGTAATTGGCGAGTTTCACCGGCCGAGACAGTAGATGACACTCAGTAGAGACCGAGAGGGCGACACTCCTCCTTCTTTGAGGATACGAAGAAGGGGGCGAATAGTTGTGCCCTAAATTCCCATGGTCTGGGGACTGGGGAGGAGGAACATCCTCCTCTCGGGTGTCTATAACCGATGAGGGTGGTGTAGTAGGTACTGGTGATGAAGGCATGATTGGTGTAGAAGGAAATGAAGTCGATGGTATAGTGGGATGAGAAGCAGTTGTGGCAAAGGCAGTGTTATTTGTAGGTTGCTCATCAACTGAAGACGGAAGAGACCCGGTACTCAGTCTCATAGTACTAAGAGCGACAACTGGGACTAGAAAAAAAGAATCGGCATCCACCACTAGGGCATACTCTCCCCAGAGTGCTTGGGCATCGTCCTTGATTGGGTTTATAAGCTCTTTATATTGATCAGTTTGTTGAGCTGATGAAGGTCGATGTCTCCTCTGTAGGGAAGCCCCTTCATCACTGGCTTCCCCATCATTATCAATCACCACAATGTTTGTGGCTAGCTCGGGCGCGATGTTCTTCACCCTTTTATTTTTGCCCTCAGTCATAAAGGAGCGTCGCCTTTTCTGTTGTTTATTCTCCAGTCGAGGACTCCGAGAGGAAGCACCTTCATCGGAAGCAAGTCTAATGGCTCCCATTCGAGCGAAGGCCTTCTGCAACAACCTCGCCGTATCTGTGGGATCAGTTAAACCTCCTCCTCGGGGACAGTAACAGAGCCTTATGGAAGACCTGAATTCGACGGAAAGAGAAGTTAGCCAACTTTCTTATATGTGAGGTAAAAACAAGATTAGTTCAAGAATCAACTTACCATGATTTTTGGCCTTCCATATATATTTAAGGGTCAGTTCTTTCAACCGGCGGTATCATGCACACTATTTGGGAAATGTTGGAGATAGCCATGTCATGGCGGTCATTCATTTCCATTGATGGTATTCTGAGTCGTGCCGCGACGTTAAATCAGGCGCTTCTTGGGAAACAACCTATGTTTCTTTTCCTTTTTCTTTTGTAGTAAGGTGTTATTTTTGTGCTAACTTGATTCGAAGTGTGCCACAAGGCTGAGTGTGACTTACAGGAATTGTGGATAGAAATCTAGCCAAGTGTTGCAAGAATTGCGGACCGCAGTTGATTTGTGCGGACCGCACATTTATGGTTGCTGCAGTAAAAGTGAAAATGTCAACTCTCTGAAGTTTATTCTGTCAGAGAAAAGGCCGATGTGCGACCGCAAAAGGAAATCTGCGGCCGCAGATTATGAGATGCTGAGTTAAGGTCACCAGGTAACAGAGTGCGGACCGCACTCGCTCTTCTTTCCCTTAGCCAACCAACTAGTATAAATAGAGGAACATGGGCATTTGTTACGTTTTTCATTCTCTAAGGATAGAAATAGTGCCATCTTGAAATTTTTTGGTGATTTTATCTATCCACGCACACAACATCCTTGATCAACCACTCATTACACTCATTCATCTGGTATGCTTAAATTTCTTGTTAATCTTTTTGTTTTAATTTGTAGATTTTTAGTTATTTTTAGACCATTTGTCATTAGAATCCAATTGTGTATCCATGTGGGGGTAAATCTATAATGGGTTAAATAATACACGCTCTATGGGGACTGGGTTAACCTATTTTCATGATTTTATGATGTTGCCATGTCAAATTGTGCACGAAATTGAAAAATCTAGAATGAAACAACTGAACTATTCGTAATTTTTGAATTCTATGGCCGCACCTGAATTCGTGCAGTCCGCAGAAATTGATTTTAGGGCAGCATTAGTGAAGGGATACGCAACCGCAAGGTAAAATGTGCGGACCGCAGAATTCCCATTGCGGCCACAGAAATGCACTTTTACTGTCATGAGAGAGTCCCTACTTTGAGACTCCAATGTGCAACCGCAAGTTTAATTGTGCGGACCGCAGAAATTGTGTTACGGATGCACATCAGCCAATGCTCTGTCATCAAAGAGTTGGCATTTGTTGGGTCTATGAGGTGCGGCTACAAGTGGAATTGTGAAGACCGCACTCGACTTTTGCGGCCGCAAAACAAAATTGTGTGGTCCGCAAGTCATCATCTGTGACCGCAAGAAAATTGTGCGGACCGAAGATCTGGTTTCCTGCAAGCATGCTTTGATTGTGTACCCTCACTGTGTCTTATGGTTTATATCTTACTAGCATGTATCCTGGGTATGTTTGAACATTGAATTGCAACTAATAATCGTCTTTTCTTGATACAGACAATGGTTCGATATAGGAGACGAGGCGACATATCTAAAGGGAGAGGTGAACCTTCTCGGAGTCGAGGCAAGAGTGCCTTACCCCTTGGCCAACAAAAGACAATTACAAAGAAAGCTACAACCGGTAGGGGGAGAGGTGCAGATCTCTCCGACACAAGCTCATATGTCCCGTCTAGGGAAGCATTAGAGGGCAACTCAGCATCTGTTCAGGAGCAGCCGACCATACAGTCAATGCCGCCAGGGAGATACTAACTCAGAGGCGAGCCGTCCTCATCTCATAGCACTTTCGAGGAATCGAAGAATGCTAGTCAGGCTTCTAAGCCATCGGCTACACCTGTCCCTGAGGCACATGATAACCAGTTCAGGATATCCCCGTTGATGGAAGATGGGGAGATGCTACAACATCTGGTCTTGAAAAATCAAAGAAGAAAGAGTTTTGGGAGGACCATTTTGTCAGCCTGGCCACTTTCACCAGCTTTCGTACATGGTGTCCAGTGAGGTCGCTAACTCTTGAGCGACAGTTTCAGTTAAAAGATTTGGAGAGGTACAACCCAACAGTGTTGAGACAGTTCGGGGAACGCAAGGGGTGGATGTGGTTCACTCAAAGTGTAGTGGACGCCAAAGAGTACCTGGTCCGTGAATTCTATGCCAATGTGGCTCACGTCAAATAAGGGACAAAAGTGACTAAAGTACGTAATTGAAAAGTGAGATTTGATCAGCATACACTCAACACGTACTTGGGCTTCGAAGATGTTAAGCCAAAGGAATATTTGGAGAAGTATGTATTGGGAGATGCAACCCGACCTTGGTTAGCGGAGATTCTAGTAGCACCAGGGCCACCACAACCATGGATTGCCGCTGGAGTCCTATCCACCGGAACACTTTGAGTTTTGAGGCGAAGGGGTAGCAAACCTTTGTCTGCAGCAGATTGGACCCGAGCCAGAATGAGACTTACCTTCCGATTCATCGGGCAGTTCTGGTTGCTTCTATTATGGTAGGGTACCCTATCAATGTGGGTGTCATGATGTCGGCCAACATCTCAGTGATTGCTCAGAAAGATGACTCGTCCTACCCGTATTCCAATACTATTACAGAATATCTCACGGATGCAAGGGTAGAGCCGAGGGATTATGACACAAAGGCGAAGTCGGAGAAGCCTTTTACTTGGTATTCACTGATGGATGTGAACAATCCGAAGAAGAAAGTTCAGTCTCCTATCACTACGGGCCAGTCTGATGAGCCAACTATGGTAGCTGCTGAGGCAGTTGATGTTCCATCCACTTCGGCCGAACCTTCCTCCTGTGCTGCAGCTATGCCTCTGCCATCATCCACAACCCCTACTGCAGTTCCTGCCACAACTCCCACCTCGACTTTGAGGCAAGTGTCTATGCCTACTGTCCCGCTTTTTGTGTTGCGAGTCTCCCAAACATTGGCGAGCCTTAACAACTGGATACAGACAGCCACTGCAAAGTTGTCTGACTTATCTAGTACTGTTGCAGTGCAGTCTTCTATTCAGGCACCTCAGTTTCCCCCAACAGTTGAAGAGATATTGAAGAAGTTCCTAGAGAACCAGAACACTGTTATGGCTACCTTCGTACAACACGGGTCAGTGATCGAAGAGCTGGGAAAAGAAGAAAAGAAGACGAGAAAGTCCCAGGCCAGCAAGAAGTCAGTGGACAAGCTCCGGAGACAGGTGACCAGGCTTGCTACAGCCGGAGATCTCCCCTTTGACATGCTGCTTGACCCAGGCAATTCTGTCCCAGATCCTACATCACTATCTGCACCGATGGCACCAGTTGGCAAGTGTGAAGAGCCAAACCTTGTTGCCGACACTACTGAGGCAGTGCATCAGATGTTCGCCAATCCATCCATACCCAGAGTTGAAGATGATGAGATTCAGTTGGCTAAGCCTAAGGGCGATGATATTGCTAGGGACACAGAGATGTCCAAGGAGCCATAGGGAGTTTTCTTCACTCTTTCCCTTCTTTTACTCTTATTTTGTTAAGCATTGGGGACAATGTTTATCTTTATTCGGGGGGAGGGGGGGTGGAGTTTATTTATTATATTTGATACATTTTGAGACATTTGGCCTGTAATAACTTGATATTATTCTCTCTTTTCTTATTATGTAAATATATTCTCTCTCTTTCTCTCGTTATGTATATTCATTCTATCTTCAGTAGTTTTTTGCTTATTAGCTTATTTATTTTTGTTTCTTTATTAGTTCTTTATTTAATTTAGTAGCTTCTTTGTTTTATTTAGTAGCTTCTTTTTATATTTTAGTAGATAATAAGCCTTTAGTTTTCTTAATGCCACGGTTCTTTCCAAAGGTAGTTATTGTATGAACTGGGTAACTCGTCCTAACGATGGATGGCGTGACAACCTTCTTAAGAGAATGAGTGAGTTTTTTTTTTGTATTTAGGTAACAATAGTAGTAGTAGTAGTAGTAGTAATGAATAAAAAGACCTAATTAAGTCATGCTCGAAGAGTCAACCATGCTTTAATTGGCACCAACACATTTAACTACGTGCTTATGGTTAAAAATAAGGTTTTTGAAAGAAATAACTCTAGTTAGTGACTTTGTGACTCTTATGTTGATTTTGGCAATTATAGAGTGGTTTAATTGGACCATAATATTCTTTAAACTTGAATGTGGTCATTATGGGCCCTCGACTCTGTCCTCTTTTACAATTTGGTTATGTGAGGGGTGAGATGAATTATTGTTAGTCCAAGTATCCGTGTGAAGGGTCTAGAACTTGCCCCGAATGTGTTTCAAGGCAAAATCCTAAGTTTTGCTTGGTTTAAGAAGTGATTGTAGGCTCTCTTTACCCCGTTTGAGTTTTCTATTGCCAACCAATATCATTATCCCTAGTCAACCCCTTTGAGCCTCTAGCCTATCTCATTTGATAACCGTGTTACAAGCCTTTACCCGTTTGGTTGTGACCCTCTCTTGGCACCCGAGCTTTCCTTAATACTCTTGTGAAATAAAATGGCTTAAAAAGTAAGTTTGGGGGAGAGATGAGGAACTTGAAAAAGGTATCAAGGCACAAAAAGAGAAAGAAAATGATCTCTATGAGAAGAAAAGGCAAGAAAAGAAAAGAACAAAAGGAAAGTTGCAAAAAATGAATAAGTGGAAGGGTTGAAGGGATTCAAAATGGGGTAATGATCCAAAACATGGAGAAATCAAAAAGGGAGAAAAATAATAAAATGATCAAGAAATAGTGATGCTAAGTCTCTCTAGTCCCCAATGAAAAGAAAGTGCCTCTAAGAATTGGCAAAGTGTGAGCCGAGAAATAAAAGATAAAATGTTTAAGGAAAGGTGTAATCACTTATCCATACGGTATCCTACCCTAACCCAAAAGCCTTCATTACATCCCGAAAGAAGTCCTACTTGATTTCAAACCGAGTGAGCTTACATTAGTGGCGATCTACATGAGGGACAAGCCTATGGTACTTGAAGCCATACTTGTGACATTCTCTTGAGAGAGATGAGTGAACCTTTCATAAATCTTTGGATTGAGTGCTAAATTTCTTAAGTGAGCTAGGCAAATGGAAAGTAGATAAGGAAGAGTTTGGAGCACCATGACCTACACGACAGAGCAAGAGTCCTTGATAAGTAAAGTCAATTCTTGAAGCTCAAATGTCACATTAGAACTATATGTGCATGAATGTTTAACTTGTTGCCTTGTTGATAATACATAAGTAGTGTGGGTAATTGTTGGTCCCAACTGATGTGTGGATGGCTCACATGTGACTCGCTGAAATGACCCTTAACTTTTGGAGGTGAGAACTAATTTATTTGCTTGAGGACAAGTAAAGATTAAGTTTGGAGAAGTTGATAAGTGGGTATTTTGACTGCTTATTAGCACCTTTTAGCTTATGTTTTAGTCCGAAAATATTGAATTGTGTTCCTGAAACTAATGAAATTGTGTAGATTGCAGGAATGCTGGAAGTTTGGTCTCCCGGATGAACTCCGACTCAAAATGAAGTGTTCCGAAGTACAAGGCAATAAAGGGCGCATAAGCACAAATGTGCAGTCCGCAGAAGGAATTCTGCGGCCGCAAAATAAATTGCGGACTGCAAAATTCCATCTACGGCTCACAAACTAAGAAAAATAATCTAACCGAACTTTCAGCAATGTGCGGACCGCACATGAATTGTGCGACCGCAGAACTGGCTTAAGAGTCAAAGATTAGAGAGTATGCAAAAAGACTAGGTCCATGAGCCTTTATGAAGTGCGGACCGCACAAGAATTGTGCGGCCACAGAAGATTGCCTCGCGGCCGTAGTCCAGAAATGTGCGGCCACAAAACTCACCTTCCTGCCAAGTGAAGAAATCTGCGGACCGCACACGAAATTGTGCGGCCACAAAACCTCCTGAGGGGCATTTTTGTCCGCGATTTTCGGCCCTGTATAAATAGACGAGTTTCACAAAATAAGGTCAAGTTTGAACATACAAAGCTATTGTAGCCGTTTCTCTTTGCTATTTTAGGAAGTTTTAGCTTATTTGAGTATTTTAACATTAGATGTTATTATTTTAATCTTCTATTATGAGTTTAATTAGCTTTTCATCTTTATTTTCTTCAAATCCCATTATGAGTAGCTAGATTTTTACTAGGGTTGTGACCCAACCCTAGTGTGTAAACCTTATGGGTGATTAATTTTATGCTTCTTTATGATTGAATGTTGATTATTTAACTTAGTTCATGCTTCAATTTTAGAATTAGTACTTGCAAATATTGATTCATGCCTATTTGACTTAGTCTCTACTTGAGAAAGAGGGACCTAGTCTAGGATAACTTAGCTAACAAAGAATTTGGTTAATTGAGAGATTGATTAACCTAATTAAAGGGTTCAAATTAGAGATAGTAAAAACCCGACTTGAGCTCTTATCAATTGTTTTGGTTGATACCCATTTGGACTCGAGAAAGCCAAATTGGGCAAAATCACTCTTTGACCGAGAGGTATTGAGTGGATAACGTGGAGTTGAGAGCTATAATACACCCCAATCAACAAAATAAGTATAAACATCTTTATCCCACTAGGCAAACACCTAGGTTATGGTCACATCACTAGGCCTTTAATCAAATTGGAAAAACCTCAAAAAAAATATTTATCTATAATCTATTTTCTTTAGCTTGCATTCATTAGAGTAACAGTAGAAATAGAAAACAAAATCTTATTGTGGAAGTGCAATCTTAGATAACCCATTTGCTTGCTTCAAATATATACTCCTAACACCACTCAGAACTCCTAGTGGATTTGACCCCGACTCATAGTTGGGTAATTATTATTGCATACGACCGTATCATATCTCCTAAAGAAGTGTGTTGTGGACAACACAAGTTGTCACCGGGATGATCCCGGAGGGAGTATGGCTAATGAAGACAAACGAATATATGCCACCCGGTAACATTCAATGAAGAATATTCTGCAGTATTAAATACACAGTCCGTTATAGAGAATTTTGGCATTCACAGCATGCCGTTACATATTCATTAATGACCCTCATAAATGTCATTTAAGAGGGGTTTGATCCTAGGACCATGTTCCCTAGGTACAACTATAAATAGTGGCTTCAACAACTATTGTAAGGGGACGAATTTTCTGATAAACTTATGATATATACTATTTAAAAGCTCAACAATACTTTGTTTCTTGTCTATTGATATTTATATTACTGCCTTCGAAAGCTCTCGGAACCAAGTTATTTGCCGTCTTATCTCTATTCCAACGCTAAGTCTTGCATTTTATTTAATTTATTTAGCATTTTGGGATCGAATCGATTCGCTTGTCTATAAAACACATTACAAATTCAACTATACCGTTTTACGGGTAAACAATATTTATTTGATATACAATTTTATTTCTTAAAAGAATAAGCTTTTTGTTAATTTAATGACTAGTTGGTGAATAGATCAATTTGATTTGTGATGATTATAACATTCCATGAAGTCGACGATGTATTAGTTATGCTTTGTCTGATTACTTTTTTCTGTATATCCTTATAATTAATACATATACTCTGTGCACGGATATATATATAGTATTTTATGCAGGATGAAATATGAGATAATAATAGAAGTATTATTATTAATATATGAATTAGTGATAACTGAGTATTACATGGTCATCTCATTTCACTTAAATAATATTGTAATAATCAAAATTTTAGAGTATTAAGCATAAAACCGGCAATTTTCTCAATTGTTTTGTGAATAACATCTATTTTGATATACGTATTTATTAGTACCTTAAAGGAAAAAATACACATTAAATTGGAGGTTAGTTGGTGATAGATCAATTTGATTTGTGATGAATATAAATTTCCATGAAATTGATGTTGTATTGTGTCATTTCGCCTAAAGACACTTCCAAAGTTGCCCACAATTATAAATGTTTATAAGATAGACATAACAAGTAATATTTTGTAATTTCGTAAAAAATTTTATGGTGTGTCTCACACAACTGACATTATTTATTTCACAAATTTGTGGATCTACATCTTATACTGTTGGATCCACAAAATTATGAGACAAAAAAGAAACATCACACAACTAGTATCAGTTGTGTGAGACACAAAATAAAAATTTTCGTATACTTTGATTTACATATGTATCTTATAAAATATTACTAATATAATTGATATTCGTGTATTATGAAGCATATTGTTACCCTCTTAAGGGGTCGTTTGGTATGGGGTATAAGAAGGTATAATGCTGGTATAAAAATTTAATATCACCTTAATATTTTATTTAGTTAGCAAACCTGGTATAAGTTATTCCGAGATTATAATTAGTACTGGGATAACTTATACCTTGTAGAAGGTGGATAATTAGTATCGTGATAACTTATACCTTTTTTTTAGAAATTATGCAATTGTCATTTTTAATATAACATACCAAATAATGGATAAAAAATAATTCCAACATAACTAATCCCAGCATAACTTATCCCGGCATAAGCCTAATCAAAACAAACGACCCCTAACAGTTTTTCTTCGACATACCGTATTCTGTATAGCATCTAGATATAGGTATATACAGATTCTACACAAAACAAAAGAATACAAGGAAATCGAAACAGCGCTCATTGAAAGGGACGCCCGAATTCAGTCCATCGTTCACTCTCACTAGCAGAAGCATTGCTCCCTACTCGCCGGTATGCATTCTCTCGCCCGAATTTCTAACTTCATCACTACTAATATATACGGAATGCATGTTTAGATTTGAGTGAGCTATCAACTACCATTCGTCCGTTAGTCGCCCAGTAATTAGCTAATTTTTGGGATTCGTAACTAGTTTTTTGATGCATGAACTTTTGATTCTGTTGAGTTGCTCGGATTTTTCGCTCTGGACTTTAACTTTCTTATTCGGTGTTCTTTCCTTCTCGGCGGTAGTCTTTAAGTATAACTGAGTTCGGAATTTGAAGTGGTTTTTTGTGTTTTTAGGTATCCTGATGCATGAACATTTGCTTTTTTCTTTTCTTCTTTTTAGGGAAAGAATTATTCCGATTTTACCTTGACATTGGTTGTTCCAATTTCTTTATGAGGGTTATGATGGGACTGATTTTATAGCAAAATGGTAATGCAAATCTATGTATATATCGGCTTTATGCACACTAATAAAAATCAAAACTTTTTCTCATTAACTATGGTGTTCGGGTCAACTTGTATGCATGTTGACTATTTCTAACTGTATCCTCAAATATCGGCTGAATCAGCCCACAAAGCTTATATAAATGAGAATAAATCACCTACATTTAAAATAAAATAAAAAACTCTACCGGGGATTTGTACTCTGGTTCTCATGGTCTTTATTACAGCTCGACTACGAGGTCACTCCCTTGGGTGCACTAATAAAATTTTAAACTGTTTCCTGATAAAAAATATAAAATTTTAAGCTTCTTATTGCTCATTTCCTTCGTTTTGCCTCTTTTGAGTTCGCTAATGTTCATAATAGCGAAGATAGCGGCAATGAATTTTGGATCAATTTGTATATCTTATTGGCGTATATAGGTTGTCCCCTTTCTTGACGACGTGTTACCAGTGCAAATTCTTGTGTTTGCAGTTTCTTTTTAAGAAAACTTTGGGAAAGTGGGAATAGAATGGATCAACTATCTATAAATACGATTATTTAATCTCCTTTCTATTCTTGCTAGTAGGGTAGCTTGACTAATATTATTGGTAAAATATTTTTACAAGCTTCATAATTAAGTTACACCAAATGCCTCACTCTCCTTAATTTTAGTGTTGGTACTTGGGTTCTTCAAATGTTGGCGATTGGAAGAAGACAAAGGGAAAAAGAAAAAAAACACTATTCCCTACCTTTTGCTGGAAAAGGGATTACTAAAATGTACTTTACTAAAATGTACTTTTCAAATTATAAGTGAGCCTATGAGCTGCTTGCTTAAACATAGACTGATGACATTTTCCAATTTCAGAGAACAAATGCACACAAGATAATCTTGGTCTATTATAACTTTCCAAGGACCTTAGGTGATTTGTATTTGGTCAATAAGAACTGTCTTTCCTACATCAACTCTTAGAAATAAGATCTTCAAGTCATAGAAATGGTCGTTTTTGCTTACTGATCCAAAAGAAAGAAAAAGTCAGAGAATTTGCTCCTATAGCAGATAACAGAAAAGTGTTGCTATGCATCTTCTTGATGCCATTTAATGAAATTATCTTACTTCATCAAAAAAAAAAAAAAAAAGTGATCTAGGATGTACTTACTTTCTTAAGAAGCAGTCCCGACACATGCTCCATATGTCTTTTCAAGATTGCAGGTTTTATTTTTGTCAGTTTCTTCGGTACCAGTATATGATTCCCCATTACTGTTGTTTGCAAACTCATTGGTTCTCCGTATAGGCGTATACATTCCTGCTTCTTCAATATGACCCTCTGTTTTCCTCATTGTGGTACACATGCATTTTAGGAGTGCTTTTTCCTTTGCAAAGCAACAACTTCACTCATAGTTGGGATGGAAGGCAAGAAGTGGAAAAAGAAAGGGAAAAATTTCAGTCAATCAAATACAAAGAAACTTATGATGAAGAAAAAGAAGAAGGTCGCTGCAAAGGTGAAGCCAAGTATTGTGATAAATCAAGCTTTTCTTCCTATTAATAACTCAGCAGGAGTCTCTGCTCCTGCTGTTTATCCAGCCCCTGCTTCTAGTCTTGGTAGAGTTGCCTCACAAGATAAAGAGAAAGACGGGGAAACTTTCGAGGACCTTTCTGGTTTTATATTTTTGTGCAGTGGAGATACAAAACTCGATTGTTTCAGATTTCGAGTTTTTGGGCTTCGTTCAAATAAAAAGGAAATTGTAGAAAAGATTAAACACGGAACAAAGCTCTTCCTGTTTGATGTTGAGTTGAAGCTCTTATATGGTGTGTATGAGGCAACATCTACTGGAAGAACAGACTTGGAACCACGTGCTTTTGGAGGCAAATTTCCAGCACAGGTAAATCGTGTTTGCTGTCAGTTGTTTAATTTTCTGGCCCAATTGTTTGTCAGTCTTGATATAAAAAGTGTATGATGTCTTAGGAAATGGGATTGGGATCCTCTGGTTGACGTGATTCGAACTGATCCTGCTTGCAATTATGATTTGCTTGTGTTCGCCCTCAAGCTTGGCATGTATGTGTATTTTTCAAAAATTCTCTTCACCAATCTTTCCAAGTCATTGGAACAAGTGCTTAGGCCTCGATGAGAACATTATCTTGTCCTGGTAGGAGGAAGTTCTGGGGGATAAATATCTTCCTTTACTTGGCTTTAGGCCGGTGATGCATTTATTTCAGTTAGTTGTCACTATCTCATGGAACTATCCACTGTAGAAAGCCATTGCTAATTTATAGTACATTCTTCTGTCTACTTTTATGTTTTGTCAGTGTGTGTTTGTAACATATTGTGGTTGTAGTCACAAGGACAGGTAGTTGTTTCAGATACTTACGGGCTTTTATTAGATTGTTACGTCTCAAACCAATTAGTTATTTCAGATATTTTCAGGCTTTATTTTTTAATTAACGGTAGTATATGGGCCAGCTTGCGTGCACCTCGATGCTCCACCAATTGGTGTGGTGTAAAGGTTCTTCAAATTGACGAAATTCACTTTCTCCACCTTCTTGGTTTGCGTGAGTAGATACTAGCTTCATACTTCTGTTGCTCTCTCCATTCAGGTGAAATTCCAACTCTTTAAGGAATGTCTTCCGCTGCAAGAATCTTTTTTCAGACATGCTATAAAGGACAATTATCATGGCAGAAAGTTTGAACCCGAACTAAATGGTCGTCAAGTAAGGGGTTTTCTTTCTTAGATATGGGGTGCCAACTTATTTCACACAAGTAGTTGTCTTTCAAATGCTTTACCACTTTCTGTTCTTTAAAGAGAATTTGAAATATACAGGTGAGGAATCTATTATCCTTATTTCGTCCCTTGCCTGCATCTGCAACCGCAGCAGCTGTGCCCCATCCACGGGCTGGCGTGCCAAAGATTATACCCGTCTTGGCTATGGAAGATCAGGCTAAGTTGTTGCCGTATCCTCATGAAGTGGGTCCATCAATGGGCAATGTTTGCCCACCAAATACTAATACTGCTTTTGCTAAGGAACATCAGGTTAAGTATATGTCAGTACCTATTTCTTCGTAAGATCCATATATTACCAGAATGCAGCACTTTCATGCTCCACCCGTTGTAGAGCCTCATGTACTGGTCCCTCACTGCAGGATGAATCTGAGCAACCGCCTTTGTCTACTGCTTATATAGATGAGCAAAATACTGGTGATGATGTAGAAACCGATTCATCTGAGGACACCCAGGTACTCTTTTTTGTTCTTCCTTCTATCATCATTTAAAGCATTATCCATCTGTCACAAAATAAGCATGCTATTTATTTATTGGCATCATTGCGGCAATCAAAAGCATACACTAAATCACTCTGTTATATTTCTTAGTTTTTGAAATGTGTACTTTTTGATCTTGCAGGATGAGTCTGACCAACTGGATCTCCTTTCTGGTTTCATATTTTTGTGCGGTGGAAATACAAAACTTGATTGTTATAGATTCCGTGTTTTTGGGCTTCGATCAAACAAAAAGGAAACGGTAGAAAAGATTAAGCCAGGAACAAAGCTCTTCCTCTTTGATTTCGAGTTGAAGCTTCTATATGGCGTGTATGAGGCAACATCCACTGGAAAAATAGACTTGGAACCACTTGCTTTTGGAGGCAAATTTCCAGCACAGGTAAATCATTTTGCTGTCAGTTATTTAAAATTGTGGCCACTTCTTTGTTGGTCTTGATTTGAAATATACATGATGATAGTAAGAAATGGGTTTGGAACTCTCTGGTTCAATGTGATTTAAACTTGTCCTGCTTGCGTTTATGATTTGCTTGTCTTTTAAGCCCTCAAGCTTGGCATGTATGTGTATTATTCAAGAATTTTCTTTCACCAATGTTCTGTTTTTTTCTCTCTAAAAAAAAGGAAAAGTTCCGAGCCATACTTTATGTTCCTTTATTTGGCTCTATTCCACGTGATCCTTTTTTTTTTTTTTTTTTTTTTTTNNNNTTTTTTTTTTTTTTTTTTTTTGTAATGTTGTAACTATCAGTAGAAAGTCATTGCTAATTAATTCTACATCCTTCTGTCTACTCTTATGTGTCTTTAGTGTAAGTTTGTAGCATAATATTGTTAGTCACATGGAAGAATAGTTCCTGCAATGTTGGGTGCTGTTGGCCTAAGACGCCAAATTATCTAATTCTTTTCAGAGTAAAATTCAGAAGTAGACCAGAACATAGAACGTATAATCATGTACAAGCAGAATTTAGCCCAAGTCCCAACAAACACCTGACATTGTAATTGACTACTGAACTTAGGGGTCGTTTGGTGTACTAGTTATATTGGGAATTTGGGATTATAGCTGTAGGGATTGTTTATGCGATGAATAATAATGAAGAGACTTATTATGCGGTGATTAGTAATGAAGGAACTGTTATGCAGTGATTAATAATGAAGGAATTGCTATGCAAGGATTACTTACCTAAAGGGCATTTTTGTCTACCCCAAAACCCCTAACCGAAGTCCAGCAATGGTCCTTTCCCACTTTGCTCCCTTGGTGACTCAAACCACTAATCTTATACCACTTGGCTATTCTTCCCTTGTTTTCGATTCCTTTATTGCTCCAGTAGGTTGTAGGCTGTCAAGGTATTAATTTAGCTACTGGGTATTCATAATGGTATTCTTGACGTATTTGATGTCTAGGTTATTTGAATTTACAAGAATCACTTCCTCCACCTAATTGGTTTGTGCAACTAGTTACTAAGATTCATGTTACTATTGCTCTCATTCAGGTGAAATTTCAAATTTTTAAGGAATGTCTTCCCCTGCCAGAAGCTTCTTTCAGATATGCTATCAAGGACAATTATCTTGGCAGAAAGTTTGAACCTGAACTAAATGGTCGTCAAGTAAGGGGGTTTCTTTCTTAGATATGGGGTACCAACCTATTTCACACAAGTAGTTGTCTTACAAATGCTTTACCACTTTCTGTTCTTTAAAGAGAATTTTAAACATACAGGTGAGGACTCTATTATCCTTATTTCGTCCACTGACTGGATCAGCAACAGCAGCAACTGTGCCCCATCCATTGGCAAAAGTGGACCAGTCTTTGGCTAATGTTGGCATGCCCAAGATTATGCCCACATTGGCTGTGGAAGATCAGGTTAAGGTGCTATCCTATCCCCAGGCAAAAGTGGGTTCATCAATGGCCAATGTCCCACCTCCAAATAGAATTTCTACTTGGAATATGGAACATCAGGTTAGGTACCCCCCGATGTCCGTTTCTGCAGATGATCCATATATGACCAGATTGCAGCACAGTCATCCTCCACCTGTTATGGAGTCTCAACCAGTCTATGAACTCCAAAGTGCTCAGCATGGATGGCTTAGAACCACGGATTTCGTGGATAATATGCAGCATCAGAAATTGACTGCTCACAGTCATGCATATTCTCATCAACCATATGTCACCGATATATGGGACCCACATATCAGGTTCTGTGCCCTTTGTTTTCTTTTCTTTTTTCTAAATTCTGTGAGGATTTATTGTTGTCTTCAGTTTTGGAAGTTGTGGGGCGGAAGAGGTGAGGTTTTCAATTGCTTTCTTAATATTAAGACTCTAGTACTTTGTGCTGTTTGCAATTGGTGCCATTCAGCACAATGACCTTTTTCTCTTCAATTATCTTTTTGTGTTTGAATTTTTTGGTATTGTTAAAGCAACTATTTTAGCATGTATTAAGTTGAACTCTGGACTATTAGCCCCATGTTTAAGAGTTTGCCTCAAGTATTCTATGTGAATAAAAATTGCTTCTCTGTTTACCGGTTTTTCATTTTCCAGTCCATTTTCAAACTTAATAAATATAGAAGGGCTATCTTAAATAATCACTTTGGCAGGTATAGATCAATGCAAGACGTGGTCCCTTCGCAGCAGCATCTCATGGGGCTAAATGACAGGAATTACCAATGGTACTTGCGGGTAGAGCGAGAAATGCTGCCACCTCAAGAGAGTACTGTTATACACAACTACTACTCTGGCCCTTCAGCTCCTTATGTTCCTCAAGTTTTTCAACAAAATGTTTCAGAAGCTGTAATACAACAGACTTCTTGCATCGCATTCCAATATTCATTTGCAAGGCAATTCGGGTAAACTTTTGATGATTGGGTTGTTAACATAATTTAACATAATGGTAGGAATGTAAAAGACTTCTTCAATAGGAAAGGAAGGGGAATTTGACCTGTAACATTTTAATTTGTCCGTCTTATTTTGCTTGGTTTATTCCTTTTGACTGAAATATTAGAACTACACTTGCAAAGAAAGACTATTGGTTATGCGATACAGATATTCGTTTGAATTATTGGGAAAGAGAAAAACTAGAAGAGGCACACTTTTTGCAAGTATTGTAATTACGTGCGACAACGTGGAGCTGATATTTAAACTGGTGCTTCCTAAAAGCACTGCAGTGCTTACGAGTAAATCCACATGGTTTAATTTGGAGTGATAGAATTATCATCGCATGGGGCCAGCGGACGCTAGTTAAGGTTTTCTTTCTTTCAATTATTATAAATGATAGGTTATATGTATCTCTGTTATGTTTTGATGATCTAACAAACTTAATGATAAGAACCAGATAAGGAACCTGTTACACATCCTCAAGCACTTAAAGAACAACAAGTCTCAGTTCGGTGACGTGGTTCAACTCTTCAGAATCAAAGGAACAAGAGAGGGAACAGATGGCCACCAGTTCCAGTGGTGACTGTACAAGTCAACTCCCCACAGCTGTAAAGTTCTTGCCTGCACACGTAACAATGCAACAGTCAACTTTATGAGGAATGCCATTTACCTAACTTGCTTACATCATTCAAGTGATGTCACAAATGAGTTATTTACATCAAGCAAAGGTAAAACAAAACACTTGCACATTCAAGAATCGATCAAGCATTTTCTCTCAAGTCTGTGCCAATCTTGCAAGTAATTCTCAAGGGCATCAAGAACAAAGAACAACATAACGAAGGAACAATTTCATGTATTGAGTCATTACATGTCCCTAGTTGTGTTGCACCTTTGTTAAAACACTTTACTTGTAATTCCTACTTAGCTTAGTTAGAAGCATTGTGTAGGAAATCTTTGTAAAATCATAAGCCTTGTGTTTGTGTCTTGGCTAGAGTTAATCGAGTTGTAAGTCTTTATAATAGAGTTATTACAAAGTGGCTTGTAATAGAGTTGTTACAAGTTAGGGAGGGATTAAGAGGTTAATTCCCAGGTTACAATAGGTTGTAATCTAAAGTTTGCTCAGTAGTGAAGTTTAAATCCTACAAGGGTAGGTCGTGGTTTTTAATCCCGTGAGTTGAGAGTTTTCCACGTAAAATTTCTTTGTGTCATTTACCTACTACAGTGTGCGTGTGTTCTGTGGGAACTAATAGAGAACCTGGTTCTCGATATAGTTTGGTGGACCCTTAAATTCTATCAATTGGTATCAGGGCAGGTTCTTTCTATCAGGCTAACACCTAGAAAGGATCCTCATAGCTGCTCCACCAAACTTCGAAGAAGGAAATCAACGTACAAACCACCTAGATTCAACGGCCAATACTATGGTTGGTGGAAAACAAGAATGCATGATTTTATCATGGCTGAGGACTCAGAGTTGTGGGATATAATCTGTGACGGACCTTTTGTTCCCATGAAAACTATTGATGAGGGAACAACTACAGTACCAAAAACGAGAAAAGAGTATAACGATGCTGACAGAAAGGCTATTGAGAAAAATTTCAGGGCAAAAAAGATTCTTGTCTGTGGCATCAGACCAGATGAATACAACCGCATCTCAGCTTGTCAGAGTGCTAAGGAGATCTGGGAAGCTCTTCAAACAGCGCACGAAGGGACAACTCAAGTCAAGCAGTCGAAAATCGACATGTTGACAACTGAGTATGAGCTCTTCAGAATGAAGGACGACGAGTCCATTCAGGACATGCACACTCGCTTCACCTCTATCATCAATGAGCTTCACTCACTAGGAGAAATCATTCCTAAGAACAAACTTGTCAGGAAAATACTTAGTGTATTACATGGTTCCTAGGTAAGCAAGGTAAATGCCATTACAGAGGCAAAGGATTTGCAGAAGCTGACCATTGATAAACTCATTGGTAATCTGAAAACTTATGAAATGAAGAAGAAGAAGAAGGACAATGAGATAAAAGAGCCCAAAAGGGAGAAGAACCTGGTCCTCAAGACAAACAAAAATGACTCAAGTGGTGAGGATGCCGGCATGGCTTACCTGACAAAGAGATTTCAGAAAATGGTTCGCAAAAATGGAGGTATTCCAAAAAGGGGCAGCTCTAGCAAGCCAAGAGGCTATGACCTATGTCATAAGTGTGGGAAACCAGGACATTTCATCAAGGATTGCCCCATCCTTAAGCAAGATCAGTACAAACACAACACAGACAAAGCAGTCAAAAGGAACCAGGTTCCTGACAAAAAGTTCAAGAGAAAAGATACCGATGACAGTGTTGTGAAACAAGCTCTTGCTGCATGGGGAGACTCCTCCAGCGAGTCTGGAGATGATGATGATCAAGGTGACAGTTCTATGATGGCAGTAGAAAGTGAAGCAGCTGAATATGATTTCATATTTGCTCTAATGGCTAAATCAGATGAGGATGAGGAAGATGACGATGAAGATGAGGTAAACTTTTTGGATGTTCAAAGAAATCTGAAATCCTATTCTCAAAAGAAGTTTATATCTTTGGCTAATATTTTAATTGATACTTATCACAGTCTCATTAATGATAAAAATGCGCTAACCACTGAACTGGGAGAAATAGAATACGAGAGATGATCTAGTAGTGGTTGCGGTTGATCTAAGAGAGACCATTGAGAGTTTAAAAAGGGAAAAGGATATTTTGACTAAGAGAATTGCAAATATAGAGCATGAGAGAGATGACCTATTGGTAGTAGTTATAGACCTAAAGAAAATAATTGAGGAACTAAGAAGGGAAAGTAGGCCTATGAACACTCAAAAGGGAAAGGAAGTTGCGAGTGAGGCACACCTTAGGCTTGAAAATGAGCTAAAATCAGTGAAATCTAGTCTGTGTGCTGAGCTTGAGAAAAACAGATAACTTCAGGAAGATCTAGGCAGAGTGAAGAGTGACCTAGAAAAATCTCTTAAGTGGACTTGGTCCTCTGATGCAATCACTGCTATGTATACGAACAAG